GAGACAGTACATGAGCTATGGCACAAACAAACGTGACGTATTTGTGAACGGTGCTTAATACTGAACAGGGTAAAGATGCTTTTCGAATGACTAGTAAAATTTAGTAAAAAACAGCCTCCCCAAGTGTACGCCATAGTGCCCGATCACCAGTTTTCCGCATCCAACAACTACCCGCGACCTTCTTCAGATCGTCGGTCCATCTTGCAGGGGGACGCTAGGTACGCTAGGTTCGCCGAGACGTGATTTCCACTCGAGAACCCGTCTAGGTACTCCATAACTCTTCGGTTCTGCGACAGATGTGGCCAGCCCACTGTCACTTCAGCTTGCTACATTTCTGGACGATGTCCACAACTTTAGTCTTATGCCAGATAACTTCGTTCCGGACTTTGTCCCTTAACGAGATACCCAGCATAGACCTTTCCATAGCTCGCTGAGCGATGTGTAGTCTGTGAGCCAGTTTGACCGTCATATTCCACGTCTCGGCTCCGTAAGGCATGATCGGTAGGACGCATAGTAAGGCACACTTTAGATTAATCAAGTATAGACAAATATCGATCGGCGTTCTTTGTTTTAGCTATGACAACCACGAACTTAGTTCTGTTCTCGGTAATATAATGTCATGTTTTATTACGCATTTTACCTCAATCTACAATGCTGTTGAATAATCTAAATAACATTGTATACCAGCCCACGTAGTTAAAACATTACCTAACAATTTATAATTGTATTGCACTAGTTTTTATACAATCGAACGTGGGTGTATCAAGTAAGTATTATGTTGATATTATTTTGGGTACCTATTGTGATTAGACGGGTTATAATAGATTGAATTTAGATTCAGAATGACGTTTCGTCGGCCTTGTAGTATTAATTTCATTCATTTTTCAACCGTTGCTATCCGGCATTACTATCGGAAAACAAGAATCATGATGGGAAATGTCTACTATGTCAGGAAATATTCACAATGTCGGGAAATGTGGACAATGGTGTACCTATAACCTCTACTATCATGTCAAAAATATTGGGAGGCTCTTAGAAGCTATACAACATATTCCTTGGTTTCCGGATAATAATGTATTCAGCTTATTTGGATTCTCCGTCTTGCTGGCTTTCAATGTATCTGCTTCGCTATTAATGTTCAGGTCGTCTTGATCGGCTACCTCCTTCCACCTCCTGCATAGATTATAGCCAGATGAGTAACCCTGATCACCCGTCTGGCCGGGCGTTCCACAACACGCCCATGGTGCATTCAGTGTGAAACTTCATGGTCAACTGCAAAACATAGCTTATATCAGAAATGCCAAACTCAATCATCGTGTCAAAACTTATAAAGCTTGGTTGACACTCACCTAAAGGCTCGCGTCTGACGCGACAGTTACTGTAGGGCAAAGGCCTCCCTTCCCTTTCTTAACTCGTCGCGATTTAATGCCGCTACAAGCCAAGATTTTATAAAATATGAACGTCTAGCCCGTCACGTCATCTCCTTCTGGGTCTTCCACGTCTTCGTCTTGCGTTTGGTGGTATTCGCCTTCGACTAGCTAGACATGCGGCAGCTGTGTCTGGCTTACATCCATGTTTAGCAGTAATAACTCTCGAAAGAGGTGACGAAACCTCAACAAATATAGAATGTGTAGTGACTATAATTGCATTCGAAATGTTTTCGATATTTTCGGTGGTTCATGTCCTCAGCCAAACAGTCTATATTATTATGTAAAATTTATTCAAAAATGTAAATTATCATTTTTTATTTTATTCCTTTTTTATTTTTAAATATCTAAGTTATCTTCTTCAATTTGTTTTTCGATTTTGTTTATACACAAAAATTAGACTATTTGAGTCCAAATTATACGCATTTTGTGCTTACATCTAGTGGGTTCCATTGTATTCGAATTGTATTTAAGCATGTTTCTAGTTAAGACTGATAACTCTGTAACCAGTTTTGTAAGCCAAATAAAAAACCTGCAAGTGGAAGGTTCACAAGCCATGGTTAACGTGTGATGTCGTCAACTAACGTGGTAATGGTATCAGATTTGTCTATGCATCTACGACTGAGGTTTCCTCTTAAAATAGTATAGCACTGGCTAAACAAAATAATTTGTCGCAAAATTGAATCAGTCACCAAAATCCCACAAGTATCTACAAACAGTAGGCGTTATAAAAACCAGTTGTAATTAAATACAGCACGCGCGTGATACGATCTCTATGCATTATAATAGGATGGGCGTCTGACTGTCTGTCCCGGAGAGATACGTGGATCTAATTTACTCCCTGATAGACCATTGTCAGTAGTTTTCGATTTGAATTATTCAATGAAGGGACGTGTCTCTAAGTTACGATTCTTAGTTGCATTTAGTCTGTGGCAGTTCCTTATTTAAATATTTGAAAATTATGAAGCAGTATTGGAACGCAATGTAGTCATCTTGTAAAGTACTTACCTAGGTTTACGTATTCAAAATTAATACGAGATTTGTATTACTAACAATAATGTCAACAAATGAGAAACGGAACGTGTTTCCATAATTGATGGAACTGTAAAGATGATTTAAATTGTAGGCTGAATGTTTCTAATGAGAACAATTGTGTATGATCGCCTCCAATGAGAAGGTTTAGGCCATAGTCCGTCGTAGTGGTTAACGCACAAAAAAAAGGTTGGTGACTTCACATGTGTTCCAGAGGTTATGGACCTTTTTCGACGTGCAAGTTTTATCACGATGCTTTCTTTCAGAGGTATGGCTACTAAACATTCACAAAGGCATATAACGAATCATCGAGCTCACAAATGAGAATCAATTGTTCTCCCACTAGGCTATCATCAGTGCAATCGTAGCCTCATGTCATTATACGCCAAATA